CTACTACTACTCTCTCTCTCTCTCTCTCTCTCTCTCTCTCTCTCTCTCTCTCTCTGCATGTCTCTCATGCTAGCTGACTCTCTCTCGCGCGCGCACACACACACTCTGCAGCTCTCTTTTGTGTTTTGGCTGATTTTTAAAACTGGAGCGGGGAAGGCCGTGCATGGCAGGTCGTCAGAATCCCTTTAAGTGACTGAGTTTTCCTGTTTAGCCCATTGATGCCCCGGCTTTCCCTTCCCCTGGAAGTGCAGAGCCGTCAGGAAGGAGCCAGTGCTGCTGGCGAGTGGTCAATACGTTGATGAGGCTTGTGTGGCAGGCAGATCTGTGTGTTGGGTTAAAATCTGTTTGCACATGGCCAGCTGCTCGGGAGGGGCAGGGTCTCTGCTGACTGCGCAGGATTATCTGATATCCTGGGAGTTCCATCTCCCAGCCCCATCCCTTCCCCCAGCACCAGTTCATTTTGAAACAGCTGCACAGGGAATGGGCTTTTCCATGTGGCAGCGCTTGTAACAATGTCACCATATGGGACATATCAGCCTGGCTCCTTCCCTAGGAAAGTAACCCCCCCACTCCCTCTCTGTCCCCCCCCCCCCACCCCTTCCTGATTAGCTTAAACTTTTGTCACTGTCTGTTGTTTCTGGAGGAAAGTGCCACTTCAAATGGTTTCAGGTCCCGGGATCATACTGCAAGCCGTGAACATGTGCAGCCCCATGGGATCTCTGCTTCCTGGGGCGCCCCTTCCCCCACTTGTTTCTACAGCTTCCCCTATCACTGTACATCAGAGGTCAAACCATGGGGGAAAAAGTAGGTGTCGTCTTCCAAGCTTCACCCACAAACCATGTCCCACCCATGTGAGATGCCAGACACAGCGATTCCCTTGAGATACGCTGCTCCCACTCTCCTGCAATCCATAGTGGAATGGCTAGTGGTGCTGATGTTTTTGCACCGTTCTTGTTAGACTCCAGAATTTGTGGAGATGGGGAAGGCTTGTTTGCGCTTCTTGGAGCTATTGTTCCTAGCTATATGCAGACTCTTTGCCTTGGTTACACCCTGTTTGCATTTTTCAGCAGGCACCTAACTAGGTGATCCACGATACCAAGGGTATGTTTACACTTAGGGCTAGTCTACACTACCCGCCCGGATCGGTGGGTAGAAATCGATCTCTTGGGGATCGATTTATCGCGTCTCATCTAGACGGATAAATCGATCCCCGAATCGACGCGCTTACTCCCACCTCGTCAGGAGGAGTAAGCGCCGTCGACGGGGGAGCCGCGACGGTCGATTTGCCACCGTCCTCACAGCAGGGTAAGTCGAAAAGGATATGTTGAATTCAGCTACTCTATTCGTGTAGCTGAATTTGCGTATCTTAAATCGATCTCCCCCTCCACCCCCAGTGTAGACCTAGGCTTAGAAACGTAAGTCGACCTATATAGGTCGACTTACCGCCACTGTAGTCATGCCCACACTACCCTCCTGGTGTTGGTGGTGTGTGTCCTCCACAGAAGTGCTTCCACCGATCTAAGAGGGGCACTGTGGGGAGCTGAGAGCCCGGTCTGCCCCACAGGCTCTCGGCTCCTGGTGGGCTCCACCCCCATTCCCTGCCGGGAGCCCAGAGAAACCGCCTACCTATTTCCCGCTGAGGGGGTGGGAGAGAAGCCGCCCTGGCTCTCAGCTGAGAGTGCGGTCCAGCAGGCCAGCTCTCCAGGGAAGTGGGGGTACTGATGGGCTCTTCAGCTTGGAAAAGAGATGACTAAGGGGGGGATATGATGGGGTCTATAAAATCATGACAGGTGTGGGGAAAGTAAATAAGGAAGCGTTATTTACTCCTTCTCATAACACACGAACTAGGTGCCACCAAATGAAATGAATAGGCAGCAGGTTTAAAACAAACAAAAGGAAATATTTCTTCACACAACACTCAGTCAACCTGTGGAACTCTTTGCCAGAGGATGTTGTGAGGGCCAAGACTATAACAAGGGTTTAAAAAAAAAAAGTTCATGGAGGATAGGTCCATCAATGGCTATTAGCCAGGATGGGCAGGGATGGTGTCCCTGGCCTCTGTTTGCCAGAAGCTGGGAATGGGCGACAGGGGATGGATCACTCGATGATTACCTGTTATGTTCATTCACTCTGGGGCACCTGCCATTGGCCACTGTCGGAAGTTCTCTAGCTGCCTGGCTTTCTTGTCTCCAGCTTTCTTGTTCTCTAGCTGCCAATAGCTGATGTAAGTAAGGCAGTGTCTACACCGACTGTGTGTCGCCTGCCCCTAATTACAACATCAGCCCCACACCTCTCAGAGAAGTGGCGTTATTATGTTGGTGTAGCAGGGCACTTACATCAGCGGGAGCAAGACTGTAGTAGACACTGACATAATTAGGTGGACGAAAGCTGCCTTAGGTCAACCTAACTGGGTAGTGTAGACCAGGGCTAAATCTTTTCCATGTCTAGCTTCTCTGGAACTCTGTTTAGGTTCCTTTTGGAACCCCAGCCTAAAACCTTAAGGAGTCAGGCACCCAAATTCCCCTGAATTTGAGCACCAAACTCTCCTTTCAAAATCTCAGGCTACGAATATTGCAGCATTACTGATGTGGTTTTTTTTCTTCCTCTTTCTCAATCCCCAAGTAGGGTTGACATCTCTCCAGGATTATCCAGGAGTCTCCAGGAATTAAAGAGTAATCTTTAATGAAAGATGTCATGGGATGAAACCTCCAGGAATACGTCCCTTGGCAACCCTATCCCCAAATGATGCTCCAAACAGTGAGAAATTAAAACAACCCCCTGCACACCGGAAGCAGCCAGCAGCAGGTCCTGCTCCTAGGCGGAGGGGCGCAAGCGGCTCCACGTGGCTCTCGCCCACAGGCATCGCCTCGCCCCAGCTCCCATTGGCCAGGAGCTGGCCAATGGGAGTGCAGAGCCAGTGCTCGTGGCTGCCCTGCCTAGGAGCCGAACCTGCTGCTGGCTGCTTCCAGGGTGCAGTGCGGTGTCGGAACAGGTAGGCACTAGCCTGCCTTAGCTGTCCAGCACCACTGACAGGACTTCTAATGGCCTGGTGGGCGGTGTTGACCACAGCTGCCACGACCCAGTTCTGGGTAGCGACCCATGGTTTGAAAGCCACTGTTCTAAAGCATGCAATAAGCAGAAAGGGGCATGAACCAGCACTGTGGCTCTGGAAGTTTAGGGTAGTTCTGATTCAAACAACTGGGCCTGTCTCTGCTCAGTTTCTTTTTTTCTTTCTTTCTTTTGATCGTTATTTCAATATTGACTCAAAGATCAGGCTGCTTTTATTTGAAAGGAGCCTCTAGATGCCTCTTAGAATCCTTCTGATGGGTTTAAAAAAAAAAGTGGCAGCTGTTTTAGAAGGATATTGAATGCCTGATCCAAACCCGAGGGGAGCCCTTCCAGTCATCTTGAGGAGCTTTGGGTCAGGGCCTTGTGGGAGAGCAGAATCATGGGGCTGCGCTGTGCTAAAAGATCCAATCACAGGATTGGGCTCTGGGGTGGAGGCCGTCTTTGCCTCATGTCCAGCGCTGTTGGTGCTGCACAGATAATGGAGAAGGATGATGCAGGGAGACATTTCCCTGATGCCTGGGGAAAATGCTGCCGGTGGCAGAGACCTTCCGAAGGGGGTCACCTATTATGGGGTCTGAACCCCAGAAGCAACGGGGGGTTCCCGCTAGCCCAGACCCAGAAAGGCCAATTCTTTACTCACTTAATGGGGTGTAATTGAGGAAGGGTTTAATTATGGCGTTCAGATGCCGAGGGGCTAAACTTTATGGCTCTAGCTGTTCATAGCTGGTGTCTCTCTCTCTCTCTCAGTCTCGGATCGCTAAGCGAGGGAGGAAGCTTGTGGATTACGACAGCGCCAGACACCATTTTGAATCCCTACAAACCGCAAAGAAGAAAGACGACACCAAAATCGCCAAGGTAAAGCACAGGGCGGGCCCTGCTTTCATTTATTATTATTTTTAATAACTGCTCATTTAGGACATTTTTAACATGTTGACTCATCGTTCCCAGGTGCTTTCTGTTTAGAGAACTGTCATGCAATGATCCAGCCAGAATGTTTTCTCTTTGGCAGGGTCCCACCCATGCACTTATTTTTACTCCCCAAATAAACTTTAGGAGGAGGCTCTGAAGGCCTTCGTGCACTGACGCTAAGCTTCTGTGCAGTGTACCTGGTACAGATTTCAGGGGTATGTGGTTAAGTTTTGGTGAGCACAGAAGCCTGAGCGAGAAAGGGAGAATGGCCTTACGGTGCCAGCTAGGAACTGGGAGGCAGGAGATCTGGGTTCTATTTCCTTCTCTGACCCTGGATACCTGCATGCCTCAGTTTCCCCATCTGTAAAATGGTGATGAGAATAAGTGGTTGGCCGCTGGGCCCTGAATTCAGTAAGTTTGCAGAGTGCTCGGAGATGCTCCGATCGACAGTGCTGTAGCAGTGTTTGCTGGGAGGGACTACCTGGTACTTTCAGTGTGGGCATGGCCGTGACCCGTTCAGAGCCTCTGCTCTGTTAATTCCTGCTGTATAAATCGTGCCCTGAACAGCTTTGCTCTTTCAGACTGGAAGGTGCTACAGCCAAAGCAAAATTGGCAATTGGGTTGTTGCAATACCCTTCAGTCTCTGTGAAACCACGCCCTCTCAGATCACTTGGGCCTTGACGTGACTAGGAATTAACGTGTGATGTTAACATGTGCTCGCTAACGCATTTTGAAACCTCTAGTGTGGACAAGACAGAGTAGACTTTAACATGTGCTAAGATGGTTGAAATACTGGCCTAGGCACCCTCCTGTGAGCACCTATTAAAGGCAGTAGGTGAAATTCTGCCTCCATTGATGTCAATGGGGAATTTTGCCACTGACTTCAATGGAGCCAAGATTTCATCCAAGTGTGCCTGGTCTACAGTAGACTTTCCCATGGTGTTAGCCAGAACATGCTAACAGCACACCTTAAATTCTAGTCTAGGCAAGACTTTAGGGGAGGGATGAGCTGTGTGGGAGCTAGGGATGGTGGAGGAAGAGAGGAGGGAGAAGTTTCTTTACTCATCTCTTTATTTGCTTGCACTATGGATAACCGGGCAAAACCAGGGAACAAAATTGAAGGTGACTTTAGGAACCAGAATTGTTGCTTTTTTCCATACCTGATGCAATGTCCCTCATTCAACACACAAGGCTGGTCAGCCAGTCAAATGGATCAGTTAACAGAACTTTCTACTGGCTTTTCTCTTTAAAGAGAAACTGAAGCACATGCAGAAGTAAGAAAGGAATTTTCCTGGGGGTGGGGAGGTGGAATCTTTCATTTAGGGGTGGTGGTGTTAATTGGCAATTTTAAAACTTGCTGCGGTGATTCATATACGAACATTGGAACCCGAGGCCACTGGCTCTGGTATTTTCAAGTCTGGGAAGCTAGACTCCGCTAGCTTGGCTTCACTCACTGGTCTCGCCCAAACTACTCATGTGCTGACACTCTGTGACAGATGACCAGTTGTTGACAGATTAATAGGTAAGGTCGATGAGCAATGTGGACCAAAGGACAGAGCCCAGGGTTCTGTTCCCGATGCTGTCTCTGGGTCACTTGAACAAAGAAATTAGAAGTCAACGGGAGCTTTTCCAGTCACTGCAGTGGGCTTGGTCTGGCCCTTCAGCCCTCTCTGCCTCAGTTTCCCTGCCTGGTAAATAGGAATAATGCTACTTACCTGCCTTTGAAAAGTGCTTTTGAGATCTATGGAAAAGCACTGGAGAAACGCAAAGTCTTGTTATTACAGTATAGAGCAAATACTGGGAGCTGACTGATGTCTTCTCATGATATTAGAATAACACCAACAGCATCATGAATTCTTTTGGACTCCTCCTTCCTCTCCCGTCTCCCTTCTTATAACACATGTACACGTCCCTTAGGAACCCTGCTACGTACTGCTGAATTGACAACACTCCATTAAAATACAGTGCTGTGCACTTTAAATACACCTCTACCCCGATATAATGCTGTCCTCGGGAGCCAGAAAATTTTACCGCGTTATAGGTGAAACCGCGTTATATCAAACTTGCTTTGGTCCGCCGGAGTGCGCAGCCCCACCCCCCCGGAGCACTGCTTTACCGCGTTCTATCCGAATTCGTGTTATATCAGGTCGCGTTATATCAGGGTAGAGGTGTAATTGCATGTGGACGAGAGTGACGTTGAATTAATCCCGACCTCCTGGAAGGCACTCGGCGGAAACTCAACACTGGGCATTTGTGTGCTAAGTCACTAACCATTCTTGCCTGTTGCTCTTTGCAGCTGGACTGCTGGTAAAACAGTCTCCCAGCCCTGGTGCCCTCCGTCTCCAGATCGGAGCGTTAATTACCGCTACACTTGGCATGCTGTGAAGGATTCGTAACTAATTGTCCCCTGGATGCTGTGTCTCTTGCCTTGGTGGTGTTGGGTTGGCCCAGCCTGTAATGCTCTCACTCTTGTGATTTTGTTTTCTAAACAGATGTCTGTCTCTCTCTCTTGTTTTTGTTTTCTCTTTCCTTTGAAAACGCTCCCCCCGCAGCCTGTCTCGCTGCTTGAGAAAGCTGCGCCTCAGTGGTGCCAAGGAAAACTACAAGCTCATCTCGTTGCTCAAACTAATCTGCTCCGAAATCAGGTGATTGCTGACCTACCTGGCTCTAACCCCTGCATGTGCTATTTTGGGCTCTAGTCCTGTAATGTGCGTTTAATTTCCAGGCAGTGTTCACTCTAGGCCCTCTGTAAAGTGTGTCCTTCTTACACAGGGGCCAGATTTCTTCCTGGTCTAACACCAGTGACCTTAAGTGAAGTTACATCTGGGGTAGGTTTGATCCGTTGATTCCCCCTTCCCCCAGTAAAACTGTATTATGCTTTGCCCAGAGGTGGATTAAGATTTATTGGGGCTCTGGGCACAAAGAACATTTGGGCTCCCCCACACCTCCCTTTCAATGGGGCCCCAACCCCTGCTCCTCAGTGCTCCAGCAGGAGCCCCCAAATTGGCCAGGTCCCTGGGCACGGATCCCATAGGCCTGTGCATTAATCTGCCACTAGCCTTGCCCCATAAAGTGAACACTGGGGGAGGGGGTGAAGATCCCATGCAGTTCCGCTAGTATTTCTCTTTTTTTTTTTTTCCTAAATGAGAAGCAGATTTTTATGGTTTAAAAATAGAAACCTTAAGCTGCCTCGTGAATTTCTGCCATTCAGTAAAGCTGGAAGCAAAATATCACAGCAAAAACCAGAAGTGGTTTATACATTTGTACAAATTAGTTGCAAAACTTTCCCAGGGTGAGATCCAAAAATGCAGATTTGAAACGATTCATTTATAGAACAAGTGATGAGAAAATCTCCCAAGGCCTCAGGGGTCTGGTCTGATTTGAATTAGAAATGGATGCAAGATGTGCATCCAACACTAGACTTTGAACACCGTCAAGTTGCAGGCCTTGGGGCTGCCTGAAAGCAGGGCTTGTCCAGGTATTATTTAGATTTGAGAACCTACAGGGAAGGAGCTTAGTAAGTGAAGTCAATGAAACTATAGTTATTGAAATTGGATTCTTTGTTCATCCCCCTTGCTTGGGGAGTGGGAAGGAGAAACTGGCCTTCATGTGGAATCTCCCATGGTGAATGTTTTTCAGGGAAATACTCAGACCCAGATCCTCAAAGATCTGTAGGCACCTAACTTCCATTTAAAACATTGCCTAAGTACCTTTTTGAGCATCTGGGTCTCAGGGACTTACAGTAGGAGCAGACAGACAGGACTGCAGTAGGGAGGAAGGAAAACAAATACTCTGAATGGGAGGACAGTAAGTCATTGTCCTGACTCAGAGAAACCCAAATACCTATTCATACATTCCAGGTGATCTCATCTGCTTTCATTCAAATGCTCTCTCACATTCCTGGTCAGTGAATGAATCCTTGTTTACCCATGACAGGTCACACTTCAAAATACCTGGGAGCTTTCACAGACAATTTCTGATTGTACAGATAGGATGCTGGCTAATAAAATGCTGGAGTGCCACGTAAACTGAGCATCAGCTCACGGAGAAGATGGCTGATTGCAATTCCTCTAAGGGTGACCTGCAAAGGAGGAAAAATTGCATCTTTTTTGCTTCTTGATGATGTCTAAAGGCCCAAAAGGTTTCTTTAGGCTTGTTTTTCAGCTGAGAAATACCAGTGGGAAGGGATAGCTCAGTGGTTTGAACATTGGCCTGCTAAACCCAGGGTTGTGAGTTCAATCCTTGAGGGGGCCATTTAGGGCAAAAATCTGTCTGGGGATTGGCCCTGCTTAGAGCAGGGGGTTGGACTAGATGATCTCCTGAGGTCCCTTCCAACCCTGATATTCTATGAGTCAGGGGAAAAAGGGAGAATTTGCTGGAAGTTTCTTTAGAGGCCTACACAACTGGAGAGAGAAGTTTCTCAGCCCATAACCAAAGAAATCAGTGTTAAGCTATCAAACCTCAGAACGTTAAACAGCCCAAGTAAAAATCCCTTCTCCTGCCAATTGCTCATCTTTCAGTCACGTGTTATGTCACAATCTCCCTAATTGTCCGCTCTGTTTTTGTGCGGCGACTAAGACCGCGCAAGCCCTTTGATTTCTAATATAAAGATGAGTTGAGAATTAACCTTTCAAATACCTAACCAGCCAGGCCTTTAACAGATAGAAAATAGTGGGAGTTTCCTGTGAACGCTTGGGAGGTTTCCTTTGAGGGGGTGTAAGTGAGTTACACTGTAGCGTTCTGGTGACTGCACCATTTGGAGCAAAGAGGAAACCGCTTAGAGCAGCAAATTCCTGCTGCTCCACTGAAACGCTGATTCCTGTCTAAGCAGCAGTGTCCTTGGTGATCTGTCCCATCAGCCAGCGAGTAACCAGCTAACTGAGTGGTGTGTCCCTCTGGTTCCCCAGAGAGGAAGGATGGCCTATGGGTTAGGATCTAGCCTGGGACTTGGGAGACCTGGGTTTAGTTCTCTGCTCTGACACTGCTTCCTGTGTTGCCTTGGGCAAGTCACTTAGGCCCAGATCCTGCATGCCTCAATCAAAATGGGAGCTCAATGAGAGGAAGGTGCCTAAGTACCTTTAAACATCTGGGCCTTGCCCTCTCTACCCACTGCACATTAAGTCTGGGTATGTGGGACCCGGGCTTGTGGACTTGGTGTTTCCAAGCCTATGCTTAGGCATCTGTACTGCATTGTAAGCCTGGGTTTACAATTGCTGCACCGGGGTCTCGCAGCCGTGCTAACACGTCCATACTGCAGGATGACAGGGCTTGGACCTGTGTCTCAGCAGGACTTGGTCTCTGACCCACCCCCCATCACAGTCCTAGGATCCAGGCCCCGAGTGCTTACTGACCCGAGTCAGCCGGAGAGGTGTGTGGACGGAAAGGGGGGTTGGGCTCAAACCTGAGTCAGAGCTTGGCCCATAGTGTGCAGTGTAGACGTCCCCGCTCTTCCCTACCTGTAACATGGGGATAACGGCTGAACTGATGGCAGGGGGAGCTGAGGACAGCTGCGAGGAGACAGAATCAGGCCTGTCGCATCCAGCCAAAATAAACCCTGCGTAGAGCTGGATCCCGGTGACCATATACCATTGGCTTGGCCAGAGCATGGGAGAAAGTAGTTTAGCTCTATCCCTGGGAACATCAAAGGGATTTGAAATATCCACCATGGAGCCCTAGCCATAGCTCTGAGCTGCATGGACCCCTCTTCCCTTACGTTTCTAGAGTGAACGCTGCCTGTGGGCTTTTAGTGGCTGTGCTTTGGGCTGTCCCAATACTCGCAGATCAGCGCAGGATTTGCTTTCTGGGTCCTTCGGCCTGGAGAATGGTTAAATGCGAGGGAGGGACCATGTAATTTCCTTCATTGTGCAATGGAGCTACTGAAAAACAAACAGAATTTAATGGGGATCTTGGTCTCTGGGGATTTTAACTCCTGATTACGGTTCAAGCCTGGTGTGGAAATGAAAGGGGACACGTACTTCACCCTTTTTTCCTTTTGAGTGAATGGATGGGAAACATTCGTGCCCTGATAGATGTTAAGGCGAGAAGGGACCTTCATGGTACTGTCCTCCGCCCTCCTGCATAGCATAAAGCGGCATCTCTGTTTAAGAGGGGGTTCGTTTTTGCAAGCCCACAGAAAATGGTGGGCTTGTCTGTGCCATGCACCGGGTGGAACCGCTGAACGCTGGTGCGCAAGAAAACAGAGTGTGACTCCCGTTGCTCTGTGCCTTCCCTGGAGTGGCTCCATATCTCCGTTAGAGACCCACCATTTCACAGACAGGCTGAAATGGGCATTCCTTCCAGTACCCAGCTGTCTCTCCTCTGGAAGGAACCCCTTGTCCTGTGACCTTGAGCACCGAGGACCTCACTCCAGGCTTCTGCTGGGGGCTGGCGACTTCTGAAAGCTGGGTGGGGGCTAGACTGACACATCCTGAGCCGCCTCCTCTGCTAGTTCCCCCTGGCCAGGGAAGCAGGAGACCAGAAGTAGCACCTGGGTCTGCCACATAGCAGGCCAGTACGCATCCTTTTCTGACTGCCCCCGCTCCCGTTAATCTGGTTTGTGTGCATGCCCATCCTTGAGACAGAGAGCCCAACGCTGCCTAAAGCCAGATTTCCTCTGTTAACCCCAGAGCAGAGCAGAGCAGATCTTTCTCCGGGCGATGTCTGTCCCCATGTCTCTCGGAAGGGACAGGAAGCCAGCCTCCGGTTCCTGTGGCAATAGGAGGGCAGAGAGAGCGGGCCCCTGGGGGGGGGCTGGATTTGCACACAAGCTGAAATGCCCTGTGGCATTGTGACATTCCTGCTATTGTTGTTAATATAAACAGCAGCTTGTGCTGGCCTGCCTGTTAGGCTGTGCTGTGGGGTGGTTACCCTGGGGATTCGCTGTTCTCTCTCGCCCCCCACCACACAGGCAGGGGCAAGGCAGAGAGTGGAAACATTGAAACTGAAACGTTCGCAGTACAGGGCCTTGAAGGGAGGAAGAGGGACGCTGGGACAGGAGGAGGAGTGAGGGAGTGGAGTGGTGGATGTGCTTGATGCTGACTTGGGGGTAGTGGGGTGGCAGACGTGCCCTTGCTGCCGTCGGGGGGGGGGGGGGAGCTTGGGGGAGGTGGGCATGCCCGGTGTTGACTCAGGGTGGGTGTAGGGTGGTGGGCGTGGCCAGTGCTGACACGAGGGTGGGGGGGTGTAGAATGGTGGTGGGCAGGGGCGGATTAATGATTTTGCCGCCCCTAGGCCCAGGGCCGGCTCTGGGTTTTTTGCCGCCCCAAGCAAAAACTTCCGAGATCGCAAGTGCCGCAGCGCGCCAAAAAAAACCAAAAAGAGAAACAACCCTCCGAGAGCGCACATGCCGCCCCTGCAGATTTGCTGCCCCAGGCCTAGGCCCTGTCAGCCTAGGCGATAATACGCAGCTGGTGGTAGGTGCGCCTGGTGCTGACTTGGGGAGAGGATTGGAGAGGGGTGGGCAGACCTGGTGCTGACTCGGGGGGTGGAGTGGGGGAAATGGGGTGGTGGAGGTGCCCAGTGCTGACTCGGGGTGTGTGGGGCGGTGGACATGCCTGGTGCTGACTTGTGCTGTTTGCAGTAGGAGCAAGGAGCGGCTTATGTCTCTGCGTTATGCCAGGATTCTTGCCCCGGTCCTGGGCTCCTTGGTGCTGGCAATGGGAGATAGGGGGATTCACCCAGACAGTGGGCCAATGGGCAGAACAGGCTGCTGGCCTGGACGCTGGAGTTAAAATCTTGATCAGACCCCAGTGTAGGAGCTTTGCACCTGCGGTGGGTTCCCCCGTGACGAGGATTCCTCGCCAGCTGGTTTAAGCCCTGGCAGTGCAGAGCCCCGTGTCTTCGATTCTCCCTGTGCACGGGGGTTCAAAGCTGGGGCGGGGTGCCCAGCCGGCTCGGCACCATTGCTGTCCATGGAGCTAGGCTGAGGTACACCTGCTGGGGTCTGATCTTCCCTCTCGGCAGTCAATTAGGGGAGTGGCACCACCGTAAAAGCTGGATAAGCAAGAGGAGAATCAGACCTCTTGTCCTCAGCAAAGAATTAACCCAGGCTGCCTCCCGAGGGGTTCAGCACGGCCAGTGTCGTTTGGGGGATCTCCCTCACCTGGTCTCTCCAGCTGGCCAGGGAAGCAGCAAATGCCTCGCGCTGCATGGAGCTGGGGGGGTGCTGACTTGTCTCGTCTCTGTTGTGAAGGCCGAAGAAGAGCTGGTGAAAGCTCAGAAGGTGTTTGAGGAGATGAACCTCGATCTGCAAGAGGAGCTGCCTTCGCTATGGAATAGGTGAGCGCCCAAGGGCGGCCGCCGGGGGCCAGTCGCCCCTTAGGGAGGTTGTTACTGTGATGGGCTCCCCATCAGTGTGAAGGGGGGGGCCTGGGTTAAGGGTGGATTTCTGGGTGCATCCCAGCTCTCTGGGCCTCTCCTAGCATTCACAGAAGCCACCCCTTATCCTGTTTCCAAGACCCTGCCATCCTTGGATCTTCCAGGAACGCAGTAGCCACCCAGTGTGTGTTGCTTTTAGGGGTTGTCCATAAATTACATAGCGCATTAGGGCATGTGGGGGGGTTAATTTTGCATGTTTGTTTCATGGTACAAAGCGGTACAACGGGTGGTAGGGGTCATGAAAATCTGCCTAGGGAGAGCTGCACTACACTGGCGACGTAGTGGGACGGGAGTGGGGAAGGGGATTCAGGAGCTCTTCTACACTGCAAAGAAAAACCCGCGGCAGTGAGTCTCGGAGTCTGGGTTAATTGACTTGAGCCTGTGGGGCTGGGGCTATGGGGCTAAAACCAGCAGTGTAGACGTTCCCACTCGGGCTGGCGCCTGGGCTGTGAGACCCTCCCCCTTTGCTGGACTTCACAGCCTGGGCTGCAGCCCAACCAGGAGCATCTACGCTGCTGTTTTTAGTCCTGCAGCCCGAGTCAATTGACCCCAGTTTTGAGGTTCAGTGCTGAAGGCTTTTCGTTGCAGGACGCCCTTCGGCACTGAGCCCCCAGGCGTGGCTCTGGCTGGCAAGTCCTTTCCCTTGTGTGGGGGTCCCAGACCCTCCAGCTCTGCTGCACAGCAGGGACCCAGCTGTCCACCCAGTGGTGCTTGGCTCCCGAGTGCAGGTTGGGCACAGGAAAACAGGCAGGCAATGAAGGGAGACCAATGAAGAGCTAGGAGACATCCTGGTGGAGGCCAGGGGAAGAATGAGGAAGGAGAGTTGATGTTTGGGGAGGGGAGTGTCAGGATGGAGTGCAGGCAAAGTCCACTCAGTGTCCCAATTTCTGATTTAAAAATGCAGTTCCCTGGGGTTGGGGCTGATGGGGGCGGAGGCAGGACAGGAGGAGGGGAGAGCAGGTGTCAGTGGGATGAAAGCAAAATCCTGAGGGGCTGCTGGACCCCCGGGGATCCTGACTTCTAGCAGGGTACACGCACAGTGTGAGTGATGTAGCCGCCGGCTGCGAGCCGTGCAGCGGTTGCACCAGTGCCTGCTGGGGAGCGCTCTCCCCTGCTGGTCCCCGTCATGCAGATTGGGACCCCTCTGCCCATCAGATGGAGGCAGCTGGAGCTGTGGCTCTGTCTTGGTCTGGGGGTGGGGGTGGGGGTGGGGCTGCCTGTGGTCTGGCTTTTTTGAGGGCACAGGCTGCGCTCTCTCCCTTGTCTGCTACTGTAAAGCACCCAGCAGTTGCCCCCGCTTTCCTCCCCTGCTCCGATCCTGTGCCCACACGCTCCCTTCTGCCCCTGCAGCGAGTGCTGGGTTCGCAGCGGGCAGTCGGGCAACAGGCAGAGTCTGTCCCTGCCAGTTTGCACCAGCTGAGGATCTGGCCTCTGCCAGTTTCCGGCATCTGTCAGTTTGGCTGTTGGCAGCAGGGCACTTAACCCCGTGACCCCCAAGTAACCAGCTTGTCCCCCTGTAGTCGGTCTCTAGCTTTCTAGCCGTGTAACTTATTCCTAAGGCTTCCCCAGCTGTGATAGGTGAGACCAGCTCTCTGCTGGTCGCTAGCGGAGATGAAACATTTCCGTCCATGTCTCTCCCCTGAGAAGGACAGATCTGCTGCACCCACCCACCCTGCATGAGGGATGACCATACGATTTGAGCCACGCACCCTAACGGAACACCTAATTGGGGGGCATTGGGTAGTTCTTGGCTGCCTGCTAACCTCACTGCCTAGCAGGCCGGGGTGGGTGTGGGTGTGTTTCCCTCCACGTGGGTGGTTACAAGTTAATTGTCCTCCATTACAAATTGCTGGGAGAGCACCATCTGGCTGAGCTCCTGCGTCTCAGGGCTCAGCTCTAGCTGTCTCTGCCCTGTCAGCAGAGAGACGCGCCCCGCATGTAAGGGACGGTGGGTCGCTCCCCTTCAGAGAAGAAAACCCAGCAGGCAGGACAGCACTTTTCTTGGCTTGACTCAAATCACTAGATTTGGGAGTCACATAGCGAGTGTGTCTGGGACCAGGCCCCTAAAGCCTGCTCGAGTCCCTGCTCAACCCTCCTGTTTTCCCCCCTGTGATTACTGTTGCCATGGCATCTCTTTTCAGAAGGGAGGACAGGGGGGTGTTGGTCCCTGGCCAGTGCCACTCTGGAGAATGGCTTGGGGTGGGTCCACTAGGAAAAGTGCCCCGACAGGCCTGTCTTCTCCCTTTCTGCTAGAACCAACCATCTCCTATAGGCCCCACTGGCCTGCTTTATTCAGTAACTAGTGTCTGTTTTGCTTTGCTGCCATGTGGGAGTCACCCCAGCCCACAGGGCTGTCTGGGGACTTCCTGACCTACACTGCTGTTAGGATGGAGAGAGAGCGCAGCTTAACTGTGAAATGCGTGTGAGTGTGTGTGGGGCGGGTATTAGCAAAGGAAACCAAGTCCACAGATCTTGGAAGAGCCACCTGTATCCACTAATCTTTGCTCTGTTTTCATTTGGCAGTCGTGTTGGTTTCTATGTCAACACATTCCAGAGTATAGCGGGCCTAGAAGAGAACTTCCATAAAGAAATGAGCAAGGTAAGGTTGCTGGCCCTTTTATTCATTTGCCATGCTGTTATCGTTCACAGTCACTTGTGCAGTGCAGCAAATGCACCCAGGGCTGGACAAGAGGCCCGCACCAAGCTGAGGCCAGGCACTTCTCTTGATGGCTTTACAATCCTAACATCCATGTTTAAATAGCCATCCGGTCACTTCAGGGAATCTTACGGGTTTCAGCTGGGAGTATTGTTGAGTATTGTTGGGAGTATTGTTTCAGCTGGGAGTATTCCCCTAAGATCAGTGGATCCCGCCTAGAGTCAAAGAAGCAATGAATGAAGCCAGTCTGATTCAGCACCTTCAAACTTTTGGGTAAAGGAGTTTCACTTACTAAAATGGATAAACTGGTAGCAAAGGTGCCATCTGTAGTAAGCCTTCAATGCCATAAGGAGCATCTCAAGGAGCAGATGGCTTAGTTGCTCCATGCTTGTTCTGTAGCTGCCTAGCCAGGCCCTGAAGAGGTCTGAGGGGTAGTGAGTAGCAAGGCCAACACACTGACTCTTTCATCCAGAATTCTTGTTTTCATTTAACTTAAAAACCAGATTTGAAATAACTCCTGGAGTCCTCCAGGGTTGTGCATTGCCCACATGATTTATACACTCTCTATACATCCTGCTAATCTTTTATGAGGAGTCAGGGAGCCCAAGTGAAAACAGATACTTTTGTTCTCCAACTGTAGTCCGGGCAACAATACAGCAGCTAAGCAACAAGCAACATTATGGTCGTTAAATTCCCAGACGTAACCACTCACAGTGAGGGAACGGCTGGCATGATTTAAACATTAGCTTCAAGTTCTGCTGATACTTCACAGGGACCCTTACAAAAATAATCCAGTGTTCTACAGTAATGCTACAAACCACTGTAGTAACACTATTGTTAAAGGCA